GAAAGTGTAAAAAAAAGAACTTCTATCTATCTATCTAAATCGTTCTGCTTGTGTCTGTCTTTAAAGGAGAGCTGCAGGAAGTGCCATGTCCAGTGGAAGCAGCACATGGGCAAGACGTGCGAGCAGGTCCTTGAGAGGGACGAGATTCGCACCAGGATTCTCTTGTAAGTATCTCAGACCTGACAGAGGGTCTGAGCTGAACAGACCAGGAGCCGGTAGATCCTGGGCACGACATACCACTGAAACGATTATCCTGGTAAACATATTTAAGGACTAGTAATTCCTATAGTGACACCACCCACTGCATTAAGGAACGCCAGAGTTCTGAGAGCACTTTGAGCTACGTAGCAAAATATCATCACAGAGTTTATTTTGGTCCCAGTCTCTGCTCACGCTCCATTCCAAATATCACCTGAGACGTGAAGTGCTGAGTAAACTGCTCAGTTTCCAGACGGCACATCCAGGAAGTGCAGTGGCCAGCTGCTTCCTGTGCCCCAGCGGGACCACCAACAGCACTTCCTGTTATGAGCCTTAAGCAGATCATCTTATTTCCTGGTGGTGAAGGAGAAAGGAAGTGGCCCTGGTGGAAACATTAGTGGATCAGAGTCTGAGCAGCACGGTGTGGTGATTGTTTAAACAGAGTTTGAATGTTTTCTCCATTTGTGCAGAAACACTCAGAAACACTCGCTTCTAGCTCCAAACAAATACTACTACTACTACTACGACTACTAAAGTCTCCACCTGACTTGACTTGAAGTTTGACTAAAAACTTTGTCCTTGAGACACACAGGAGAATGATAAAAAAACAGCAGCGCAGGTTTGCAGATGTTGAGACTGTTGGAAATCCATTTTGTTTTCTGCTTATCTCTCTCTACGACTCTCTCTAACTTTCGTCTTTGTGCTGCAGCGAGGAGCGAATGACCGCCGCCAGAGTCAGGAAGTGTGTCAAGTGCACCACCGGCTTGGTCAAGTCCGAAGGATGCAACCGTCTGCTGTGCCGCTGTGGCAGCGCCATGTGCTATCTCTGCCGCGAGCTTATCACCGGCTACAACCACTTCTGCCAACACGCCCGTTCTCCTGGCGCCCCCTGCCGACACTGTCGCAAGTGTTCCCTGTGGACCGACCCCACGGTAAATGATAAAAACTGGTTTGTCAGGTTTTGATTCCGCTGGAGTGATGAAATAACATTTCCTGCTCTTTGTTTTCATTTAAAAGACAATCACTTACTCTCTCTCTCTCTCCACACTTTGACCCCGAGCATCTGACACTGCGGCAGCGCAGCATCAACCTGGACAGTTTCACTGGCACTTGACTCCAGCAATTAGTCCCTGAGAAGTTAATGAGCTGGAGCTGCTCCAGTGTCTCTGCAGAGGCACCTGACTGAGCCAAGAGCAGCTCCAAAGAGGAGGCTCTGCTGCCTTCTTAGATTATGTTTTTTTTTTACTGAGTCACTGCATTGGTGCTGTCAGAATATTACTCATCATAGAGGTGTTGTTGTTCTGTTTTGGTTTTTTTTTCTGCTACTACTGTTTTATCATCTTCCCTACGTTTGTGTCTCTGCAGCAACAAGACGAGGAAATCATTCAGGAGATCCAGAGGGAAGGAGAGGCAGAGCTGACTAAGAAAAGTGCCGGTGAGTTCAGATACACCTCGATATGTTCGGTGGTTATGAGTGGACACCATGACATGCATCATATCAGTATAGTGAGAATCTCTAAATCATTTAATGCATAATATTAACATTAACGGGACATTTTTAGATTGACTACTGAACAGATTCAACCTTGTGATGTTGTACATGTCACAGTAGAATTTAGGCACCGATCATGTTCCTTCCATCAAACACAAACCACTACAGAGTTGGTGAACTCTCTTCCCTGACCCCGGCAACAGTGTTCTTCTTCTGCTGCTTCCTCCCTGTCATCATGTGTTCAGACGTGTTGGTCGTTTGCATTATTTTTTGTTTAATTGCTTATTTCATTTGTGTATAGTGTCAAACATGGGTGAAAATGTTGAGCCAGATTTTTTTGTTTCTTTCAGATAATGCAGAGAAGAGAGTGGGTCCTTCTCCGGTCATCGCAGCAAAGCGTCCGCGTGTGGGTCCGCCACCCGAAAACCAACCCAACCCCAACAACCAACCTGCTCTTATACCTCCTCCTCGACCTCTTCCTCGACCTCTTCCTCCTCCTCCCCCACACCCTCAGCCTCACCCTCAGGCGGTACAGGCTCCCCTCTTCGTCCCTCCACACGCCCACTACCCTCCACCGCCCAACCAGGTAGCCAGGTTTTACATCCCACAGAGGCTGCGCCCAGCTCCCTACGTGCCCCACCAGCCGCACATGCCCCATATGAACAACTTCAACAACAACCACAACTATCATCACCACAACCACAACCCTCCCGTCAACCCCACCCAGTTCCTCCAAAACTTGGACGGAATGGATCTGCCGATGCACTACGGACCGGCCCATCGACACTACAGAGGCTTCTGAAAGATGGTCATCTCTGACGTGTGTGTAAGTGTGCGTGGATGTGTGTCAACCACTGAGGTCATCAGTACACAAACACGGTACAAACACTCTGTGGAGGAAGAGACGTCTTCTCAGTTAGGTGTCACTTAATCAGGACATGTTTTCACATTTTTTAGGCTGCACTGTTTCTCTCTTTCTTCCATCCGTAACAGCTACTGTACGCTCTTACACACACACACACACACACACACACACTGTTGCACACCTTGCCTTCATGTGCTGAACATGGGACTTCAGTAATGTCGGCAAAGCAGTCATCATGCGTTTTTTTTCCTCCTCATATATCGGAGTTGAACTGATACTAATGGTTGGGATTTTCTCTTTATACAAATATTTTTGAGTACAGAAAATTACAGATAACATTCCCTTCTGTATGTTTTGGATTTCTAATAAAGATTTCTGTTCACCTCCTGGTCAGACTTCTGATCTAATGCAAATGAATAAAAGAAAATGTGCCTATAGAAGTATTCACACCACTTGGAATTTCAAGTATCAAAATGACACTAAGATACTTAATTTCAGAAGAGGTTAAAACCTCATGTTTGTTTTTTTTTTAATGCTGAATTCATTTAAGAGCCATGTGTGAACTTTTCTATCCTGTCTGGAAGTCGTTGTCTTCGACCAGTTTGTCTTCCTCTGCCCCTCCCTCTCTCCTTTCTTCTTGTCACCCTGCATTTAGAAAAAGGGGCTGACTCATGACAACTGAGCCTCGGGGCTCAGCACCAATCACATGACAGAAGAGTCCTCTCCTCCAATCACAGCACAGCGACTGCGGGGGCTTTGTCAAGTCATGAATGCAGGGACTTTTTTTGTTCAACCACAAGTGTGCTGCTGCTGCTCCGAGTGTGACAAATCGCTTTGCTACACACACGCCTGCAGAGTCAACACACTCACCGCCTCTTCTTTCCATGGTCGTCTGTTCAACGTAGCCAAATGAGCCCCCCCCCCATCTCCCCGACCCCCAGTACAGCCCCGGGGTTCTAATACTGTTAGTCATGGGTGATGTGAAGCAGACTGTGTTTTTTGTGGGAGTCAGAATTACAGTTTAATCAGATTTAGTTTCTGCTGACACCAGCCGTGCTGTTGTGAGTTACATTTGTTCACTGTATTTATAACAAAGACACATAAAGACGTGCAGGGACTTCTATAAATACCGCTGTATTCACAAGTACTGCTTACATTAGGCTCATTTTACTTCTAACCAAAAACCATCATGGTGTCATTGGATCAGCTTAACAGCATTTTGGGTTTCAGCCTCCAGGGACGACAAATGTTTGCACCAAACTGCACAGATGTCCATTGTTTGTCCTAAAGCAAATGACTAGATGACTATCATGAACAAATGATGTTAAGGCTCCACAGTCAATGTGACAACAGCAACAATTGCCTCTCTGTGTTTTAGGTCATAATTTAAGTTGTATTCTAGTTTTAGTTTTTCTTTTGAAACAGCTGTCATTGACAACATGGACTGTAGGGAATCTTGTGTTTTTCTCAGTATTGTTCTACAGTCTGTAGTCATGTATGTTTAACCTTATTTACGTCATACATGTTGTACCAAAACAATGACAGTTTTTTATTCAAACTGCTAAAATAACAGGTTCTGGCCCTTTCTTTGAATAGCTGGTGCTTTTTTTATGCCGTGAATGGGTTTTTGATAAGAAGCTATTTGAGCTGCATTTTGTCAGTGTTTTTCTTTTTTTATAAACTACACATGACGTCCATATCTGCGCCGCCACCTGAGGAGATATAATACTCTTTCTTCCGGCTAAGAAAAAAAAAAAAAAAGAGAGAACACTGTGGTCTGCACTGTATTTACACAAGATTAAAAACGTGTGTGTATTTGTTTGTGTACCCTGACTAGTCCACAGAGACCACTGGTATTTGGTGTTTTGCTCCCTAGACGCCCTCTGTTTTACCTCCTCTAACAATGTTTGCGCTTGTTATTGATCGCCTGTATCGTAATGACTCAGTGTGTGTGTACCTGGTATTTCTGTACATACTTATATTTTTGAGATTGACTTGGCACAGATTTTTTAGAGGATGTTCTTCCTGATGCAAACCCGTAGACTTACAGCTTGCCACTAGGCCTTTGCTTATTTGCCCTCAGGATCCTCCGTATGGTGGGCATTTCGGAGGCCTGATTCTAAATCCTACAGGTACCAGCTTTATGTATTTACTTTGTATACAATTTGCCTCATAGCAGTGAACAGCTGAGTCTGCTTTGAATGGTCGAACAAGAAAAAATACAAAAAAAATATGCCTAAATCTATTGGGGTTTTTTTTTTGGTGGGGGGTTAGAATACGGTAAGAAACAGTAAGTTAATTATAGAATAAACATTAAAATAACAAAAAATACTTTATAACACTATTCTGTCTATGAATCAAAAAAAGATTTTCCCTTCTTTTCCATCTAACATTCGACATATCCACGAGATTACAAACGATGTTGTCATTAGGGGGCACTCTCACGTAAAGTGTACGCAGCTGTCGTAAACGTTTAGAGAGAAACAACGTCAACAACAGACCAGAGATGTCTGTATAAGACAGAGCACGACGCTAAAAAGTATTGTTATTCTTGAAAGGTAAGTAGACAGTAACAACAACACCGATTAATGCTAAGCATATTAGTTTGGAGTTAAAGCCAATTGTGTGATGTATAAAACGGCCACGAACTCAAACTGGCGGGACTGTACGTTGACACCCCCCTCCTCCCAATCCCATAGCCTCGTCTACGAGCTAACTGGCTAAACAGTACAAGCTAATGTTTTTTTAATTTGTGATAAACTATGAAATTCGCACTAACGTGATACATGAGCGAGCACGTTAGCATTATTAGCTTATCCTAGCTCTGTTTTTAAATATATAGCGCACTCATGCTAACATCGCTAGTCACGCTAGCGTTGTAATGCTAACGTTCTAGGTTTCTGCACACCCCAGCCACATAAACACGTTGCTAAGCTACACTGTGTTTTCACACTAGCATTTTAATTCACACATTATGTTCTGTTGTTGTATTTGTAAAGCTAAGTCAGAAGAAGTTTGTAATAAATTGTCCACAGTAGGTGTAAAGGTATGTTCAAATCTCTCTCTCTCGTTCCATGTATGAAGATCAGACATGGCTTACCACCCAGCACTGACGTGTGCTGCTCCAACACATCCTTTAAAGAGATTAGTGTTTGACCCAGTGACCCACTGACAGGCTGCCTGACCACGTGAGGGACAGAAAAAGACCAGTGGATGGAGATTTGGTTCCAGTCAGTAGGATTATAGGGAAGGTGGTCAGATAAAAGGTAATTGGCACACACACACATTCGCACATGTATGTCGTCAGCAGGTGATGACAGATATTTAAGCGTAGAATAAGCTCGGCAGAATTTTATCTTCATTTCCTCAACTCCCTCTGAGATCTAAGGCAGACACCTCTTTAATCTTTCTCCTTGCTGCTCCTCCTGCTTCACTGTCTTCAGCTTCTGCCCCATCACCCCTTCACACCGACCCTCCTCCAACCAAACACACACACACACACACTCAAGCTTTGTACAGCCCTCAGTCATCCTGCAATTTGCAAGTAATGAAGCTTTTTGACATTTCTGGCCCTGACAACGCTACACACACACACACACTCTCTTGTGCCTCTTCTCATCACATTTCTGTGCTTCAAGCAGCTGCTGTTTCCATAGTAACCAGGCGGTTGGTCGGGGATGGGATGCGGGTGGAAATGGCAGCCATTTTACACACATCCTCTCGTTATTAAAACCTTCATGAATACTTTTTTCCCCTCCCTCTCTTCTCCCCTCCCCTCCGTCCCTCATTTGACTGGTGTATTTTCCCTGCAAAACCACTGCAGTCAATTCTGCAATCTGGGTCAAATTTTGAATGACTCATCTTTTCAGTAAACTCATTCAGAAGAGTCAGTGGGAAAGAGAGAGAGAGAGAGAGAGAAAGTTGAAGAAAACAATCTGATTAAAGCAGGCAGAGTAAGGGAGATTAGATAGACGGGTGGTGTGTGTTTGTTTTGCTGTGCAGGGTGTCCCTCTGGGACTTGTGAGGCTGAGGGGGGAAGTGGATTAGAGACCTGTTCTGGTGCTCTGGAGGCTCCATCATTACATTACTGTTCTGACTCATGTTTGTGTGTGTGTGTGTGGGTGTGTGTGAGTGCGACTCTTTGGAGGGGGTTGCCCTTTCTCCACACTAGAATAAATGTTTCAACACAAAGGCTTCATTCAGGAGGAGACAGGAAAAAGTGTATGTATGTATGTATGTGTGTGCGTGTGTAAGTAGGACAGCACATGGAGCTGCTGCGGTCAGAAACTGGCAGGAGACCAAGACTGAAACTCTGTGATTATGTGAGAAATGGTGAGGACAGAGACGGCTGTGATTTCAGACCTGTGCAGGTCGAAGGACCAAATGCACATTAAAAAGTGAACAAACAGAGACTTCTGTCCACCCGGCATTTATGATTCTAACACATGTTTATACCGAACTGGATTTGAATGAGAGAGTTTTTTGTTTGGTTTATTTTAGTCTTCTAACGTCATGTTGAAGTCCACGTTGTATAAATGTGCACGACAGAGCCAAGAAACAGTAAGGTTTGCACTTCTGTTTTTTTCCCCTCTGGCACTACGAGGAAAAAGAGATAAAATAACAGACCTCTAACATTTGGACCATTTTGGCCTGTAGAGTAATTGAAATAGAATGAAAGAGAAAAATGTGAGTGAAATCTTTTTAGCGGCACATAAAAATTGTCTCCTGTGACCCAACTGTTAGTAGTGACCCCGTCTTTCGGCATGCATTGTTTTAGGAGGGTTCTTTTCAAAGTGTGGGGCGGGGCCCCACTGGGGGAACGGGCGTGACAAACAGGAGGAGATTTTCAACGTTAAAGTGATGATAGTAAAACTGCACTTTTATTTTGTCTTTTTGAACTTATCTTTTTGAATACTATAACTTATTTGATAGAAAATCCATCCTCGTTCAAAAATGGACATTTGTTTTATGATGTAACCGCAAGAAAATTGTTTGACTAAAAAGAAAGTCACCACAGAAACGTGTAGCTTTTCAAATCCCAGTTTTATTGGTCGTTGGATTTCAGGTGAACCAATGGCACGAGAGAGATTAATCCACAATAGTGAAAGAAAAAAAAAATTATACAAAATAATACAAAAGGAAGTTCCAGTTATACAAAGCAAAGGTGTGGCCATTTTTACTTTTTCCCCAAAGAACTGCGCAAAAACTCAAGAGTAAGGCACAGTCATTACCACATGGTTACCCTTCCACATCCGTTTGTCTAAGCCATGGTCTGGGTTATCTTGGAGATGCTGGTTTCCAACCAAAATAACCAGTCCTTTTACTTACATGAGATCCTCAGCCCTTTTTACAGAAACAAAAAATGTTGGGATTCAGAGCCACGACAATGGCGTCTGCACAGATTTCTATTTTAGAGGATTGTTTAAAATTGTGCAAAGACCTAATAATTCTAGGCCAAGACAAGCTCTAACTGTACTGTTTAAAATAAAAAATAATAATGTTGAAGCAAATACTTCTGTTGCTAAGTGAATTGTGGAGAAAGCAGGATTAGAAAGGGCAGAGAATCAAAGAGGGCAGGACCTGTGGGTGCAACTTGCTACAAGACTGCGTAACAGACATTCCAGTTAAAGAAACAACAACAACATCATCATTCTGCTTCTGCTCAAACTCATCCCGTCAACACAGCACTGATGAGATAGAAAGTAAATAAAATACAAACACAATTTAGTCACAAGCCTTCATGGCTCCGCCAAAAGATCAAAACGGAAATTAAAACCCAACGAAAAATCAAAGCAGAATTAGTGTTATTTAATATTTTTCTACGGGCACTCTCACGGCTCTTTTGGTTACGTGTCAAGGCTCTTCAGTGAGTGCACAAACGGATGACGACATTTTCGTTTAGCACCAGGTGAGATGGCAGCTGTTTTTGTCCAGTATCACAGGTTTGGTGCAGATAAAGGCAAAGGTTTAAGGTTTGGTCGAGGGATTAGAAAAAAGCAGCTTTCAAAAGAAACGGTTCACACGTCACCTCGCTCCGCTTCGAACTGTACTACCATGATAATGTCTGTGCCTCGGAGAGAGTAAAAAGAAGTGAAGTCAGGTGTTTCTCTGTGTAAGACATTTAAGTGCAGCAAACATCAGTGATTCAAATAACGTAGAAAAAAAAAAGTGGACGTAGCCGTCAGTGGGAAACACAGGAAGTGTTCAACTGATTTTGAAAGATGTGTTTTTCCCTAATGCTTTTCCAGAATTGATTTATCACATAAGTATAATTCTTTTCTGCGTATTTTATTGTTCAATCTTGGCACGTTTTTTGTTTCTATTGGATCTAAACGATTGTGTAATTTTCTATGATAGCTGAAGGAAAATCATTGATAAAGAACAACAGTAATGATCCCCATCTCTGTTATATCATATATATCAGTTTTCCTCTAAATACGAATGACAAAACAGACCTTAAAAAAAAAAACAGAAACCAGCGGAACACTTCCAGTTGTTTCCCAGAACCTTACTAATTGCTTCATCCACTTAATATTATTCCCCTATTTATAAATGTGACTATTCCATGTTTGAGTGTCACAATACTGCTCCTAGGACAATTGGGTTATTATTTAGAGGAAAGGGAAGAGGATGACTTTTTTTTTTAAACTTCCTACATCCTGTTTGGTTCAGCAAAGGGAACCAACCACAGAGCTGCAGTACGAAAAGAAAACCTGCTTTACATTTGAATACGTTATAGTTGAGATGAACAGAGGAATAACGAACCCATCGGTTACATCGTGTGTGATATCTTTACCATCATAAGATCTACTCCAGTTTTACCATTTAGTCGTCGCACCGAGGCAACGAGTCCTGCATGTGAACACAAACACGCTCAGCTCGGTCGGGCAAAGGCCGAAGACCGTTTTTTTTCCCACAAAAGCCAACCTGCGTTAAAAAAAAACAAACATTTACTCATCGTCGTGAAGCAGCTGAAACGGACTTAATCCAGGAGTGTTTGTTTGTTTGTTTGTTTGTGAGATTAAATCATTAAATCAGGTGGAAACGGCTCCACCAGACCAGGACAGACGCCATAAATACACAAACACAAACAGACCAGGGAGAACACTGCGCTCTAGCAGAGGGGCAGTCTGGTTCTAAGGTGAAGGAGGGGGAGGGTGACAGGTCAAGCAGTAAAGTGGATCAAAGTGGGGGTAGGTGGCAGGAGGGGTGTACGGCCCCTTGATAAATATGGCAACAGATGAACGTTGGCACTGCAGAGCAGAGCTGGGAAAAGTAAGGATAAAAAGGGGATAAGGGAGTCAAAAAATGAAAAGACATCTCTCATTCCGTCCTTCTATCGTTTCTTTTCTCTCTGTGCAGTTCAGCAACAAAAACAGTCATAACGATATAATATAGGAAGTGGTGGACAGGTAGATGAATGGACGGGTAGTGCTGCTGTGCCACATCATTTTAATCACACTTTCACTCATTCGTTCGTTCGTTCATTCCCTCGCTTTCATTCATTCGTTCGTTCGTTCATTCCCTCGCATCGCAGCAGTGTGCTTTCCCATCATCCCTCAGTACTCCCAGAGTGTGGCTGTCTCCAGGTCGTCAGCGTTGGCCTTAAGCACGCCAGCGTGGTCGCCACGAAGGTACTTGCCGTCGGCAGCGTGGCGGATGGCCAGCTTGTTGTAGTCACAGAACTCGAAGAGGAAGTCAACCGGCGTGTCGCTGCTGCTCACCACCGACTGCTCGTTCCCCACCATCCAGTATTTGCCGGTGGTGTCTGGAAAACAGGAGGTGGAGAGGAGAGCATGGGTTAGGTGGCCTGTTGAGTTTGGTCTGTTTGGCTCTGGGACTTTAATAAATTGAACGGACAGAACGGATCACATTTCTGATCTTCTTAAGGCAACAGTTAAACCGACCTTGCAGGCTGTAGCCCCCGTCTCTGAACTCCAGAGTGAAGTAGTCATAGGAGGAGCGGTTGGAGTCCAGAGTCCCTGTCACCTTCCTGCAGCCGATGAAGCCGTGCTCACCGCGCAGCACGATGATGGGGCGGTTGATCAGTTTCATGATGAACTCCTCTGTCTCGCCTGGTGGACAAAGGATTAAAATGCATTTCATGAGTGCAATTATGGGATTCTCTTTTCTGTGTCATCACAGTACTTCCTGTTTCATGTCTAACATCCCTTGTCCAACATGTCCAGGATATATCCAAGGACATGCTCATTTCTAAGACTTCACTCAGTCTAAAGCTTAAAATGATTAACCCTAAAATTCTGATTTTTAATTAATCTTATCAAAGCTTAAATTAAAGATAAGATTAACCCTTGTACTTTCATTTAAAATTCTGATTTTTAATTAATCTTATGCAGAGAAGAAAATGCAGCAACACAAACTGTGTTTTTTGGCAGCGGGGCTTTTCATCACCATGAAGTGCTGAGTGTTCCTGCATCTCATTTGAAAAATTGTGTGCATTGCAACTCGTGTCAGAAACCTCAGCACCGCCTCTGCCAACAGCCCCTCATCAGGGAAGTGCAGAACGACGGGATCGTTTCAGCTTTGATCCAGCAGCTCTGGAGCATCGTCTCATCTGTTTGCTGACTGCGCGTCTGTGTTGCAGAAAATGCGGCCGCTAGGAAAATTGATCCAGCTGCTCTAAGACTTTTGATCGCTTAGAGAATCTTGCATTTAACATTGCATACCATCTTTTAAAAAAGAAAATGACTGCAGCGTTACAACAGATTTGTTTTTATACACCAAGAAGGATCAGTATTAATGTTTTTGTTCATTTCTTTTGCCGTAGAGAATATTTACTTTTCTTTACCATAGTGAAAACCACACAAATTAGCAATAACTCTGTATTCACTGTTACTAGCTTTAAAGCACTCGACACTCACCGGCAGAGTCCATGGTTGCTGCTAACTGTCCATTCTTCTTAGCGGCCACGTATTTCCCATTGGCGGCCCGAAGAGTCAGCCTCTTCCCACGCCACTCAATGTCAAAGTAGCAATTAGCCGACCTGCGGAAAGTAGAAAGTAAAAGCCTGAGTGATTGGAGGGATTATTGTATTTGCTCGGTGCATATTTAGACATGCCGTCATAGCTTTGTGTAGGTGTCAGGTTTGAGCAAATACTCGCATTCAGGACTTTAGTTACCCAGAAATACTACACCAAGGCGCTTTACTCCGAGTGTGAGTAATTGTTGGGTAACTGGATCGGCAGGATCAGTGAACAAGGATAAGCTCATATTCTTTGGTTTAGTTCAATAAAGAAGCTGCTTAAATCCTTTCACTTGGCAGAGAAGTCAGGTTTTACTTTCGAGCGTAGCTCAAACATTCTCGGATATGAACTCAGCTTGGCTTTTGCAACATTTTTCCAAAAAACCCGCAGGAGTTTTCAGTGTGAAAACAATCCTGTGGTCTAATCAGGACTGAGGCAAAGCTAAAGAATGTGATGGAGAAACAGGGAGCTGTGCAGCGTGACCTCTGTCCACGACCCTATCCTAAAAGATGGACGACTTGAAGATTCAGAGTTAACTAAGGACACATGCTTTACAACCACACAAATAAGATTTACTGCCATTTCTAATATTTAGACCAGACATAGGAATAAAATGACTTCTTGGCTCTTTGAAGAGAAATTTAAGTTGGATGAGTTTAAAAAAAAAAACCTTAAAGGATAATAAATAGCACTGCATTAATGTTGTTTATGAGTCAAAGCTCAGCAGGAGGATGGCAAAATGTTCCTTATGAGGTTCAACCTAGAGGTTAAAAGAGTTTTTTTCTGGAGTTGTTAAAGCAAAAAGCAACATAACCGAGGTCTTCGCTGTAAATAGCAAAAATAAAGCCTTTTTTGTCAACATAACCGAGGTCTTCGCTGTAAATGAGAGGCATGAGTCAAGAAAACATGATTTTTTTTGTGTGTAAAAGATTTTAGTAAAAGCCATGTTATTTTGTGTGCATAAGATTTTAGTAAAAGCCATGTTATTTAAGCACAAAAGAAAAGTGTATCCTGCTTCTGAATCAGTCTGGGCCCCAACATCCAGAAGCACTAGGTCAAGGGTCAGAAGGTCAGAGGTTAATGGCACTCTGGCTGTGTACAGCCATCACAGGAAAGTTACACCCCAGAGGTTGAACTTTCATATAAACACACTTGATCATCATCGTGCCACTTATCATGGATGTTACTGTGAGATCAGTTGAACTGCAGCTCATGTTACACACGGACGACTTAGACAGAGAGGAGCAGGTGGGATTGTTGGGAATTCTGTGGTTCTTACTTGGTGGAGGCGGTGCACTGCAGCCCACCGTTGGCAGTGAGAGTCCAGTACTTCCCAGCAGCGGTCCGAAACGCACACTTCCTGTTTTCACGGCAAATCTCCACCTGGAACACTTCCTGGTCACCTTCCTCATCCTGATTGGCTGAGAGGTCCATACCTGGGTGGTGTCAGGAAGCAGGCGGTTAGCACATGGATGTAGGTGGGTGGGTGGGGGTGGGGGGGCTACAAATAGCCACAAAAGACTGCTATTAAAACAAACACGGGTGCAGACAAACACACAGCGTGGTGGGAATAAACTGTTCATCACACCCACACACTTCCTCTGGTCATGTTCAGACACACTCAGAGAGCAGACAGCTGGCATTAGTGAAGGATTTGAAGAGTACACACACACACACACACACACACACACACATCTGGTAGTCCTGATAGACCCCCGTCTAGTTCAAAGCATATCTCATCATTGACGAATCATCAGAAATTCAGAGATTTTAGAGATTTACTTTAACCGAGGAACAACGTGTGAGCTTAAAATATTCAACCGGCAAATGAACATTTAAACAGTTTCACAGTCAAGTTGAGTGACGTTTGAATACAGAAGTCAACGTGACTGCGATAAAGAGGACGGCGATGGTCCACGAGCCGAGGGGGTCTCCTCTGTCCAAGCAGTAAAATCGCAGCAGGAGAACGGAGGGGAATTTCCCACGGAGCAGGTGTTGCTTTACGACGGGCCACGTTGTTAGAGGAAAGTTTTTTTATGAGACTAAACCAGAATATTAGAGTCCAAGAACATGTCTCAGATTTGGAGACACTCCGTGGATCCAGTGTGTCTTCCCATTTTTCTTGCAATTTATTTTACAGTAAGTCTGGGTGGGTATCAGTAGAGTAAACAGTTAACCCTAATCCATAATCTGTGGGAGGATAATGAAGTACCCAGCGAAAACACTAGGGGGAGATCGTAGAAACTCCATAAAGTTAGACAGAAAGAACCATTAGTTACCTCTGGAGAAGGAACCATCAACTGTACAACTGTTTTTGCATCACATGGAACTGTTTTCAGTCATGGCTGAGAATGCAGTTGAGCTCAGGGCAGTCAGGCAGACGCCGCTTAAGCTCTTAGGAGCAACAAAAGAGGTAAACAAACACGAGTCGACCAAAGGGATGCACAAATATACACAACCGTCCAGTGAACTGTATCACCCCCCCCTCACAAACACACACACATTCATTTAAGGACACACAATGTGAGCTTTGTATATGATGAAGTCGTGACACAGATGGACCTATAGCCCGAGGGCTGGACACAGAGAGAGACAGAGAAGGGAGGGAAAAAAAAAAGATGAAGCCTGTGTTTGAGCACTGTGTAAATGTGTG